TGTGAAATTTCAGCCATTTTATTCGTTTCTCCTCTGTCCTATTCGCTCTTTGCCTAAGTGCCTTTTCGGAAGTCACTCATCATTTCTATAACGAGTTATCCATATAAATTTTTGTGCATGAGTTCATGACGTTCTCCATCTCGCCGCGTTCGTAAATTGCGAAAAGAGAGGGTTGAAAAGGTAAAGTAGCAAGGCATTGTGCGAATAGTTAAGGGACGAGTTATCGGTTCATTACATACTTGCACGCCAAGCAGTGATGCGATTAGTTAGTGAGTCTAACTTCCTGATCAATGGTTCAACGCAATGGTTGAGAAGGGCGATATTAAATCTTTTAGTTGCCGACGCATTTCGATACCATAAACTATTCTCATTAGCATAACCTTGATGATAACGATGATATGCATACTATAAAGGCGTCAGTAAATGAAGAATTGCGTATCGTCATTTCCAGCTGTTGCCTTGAACCATGGATCGTGATGCGAAGATCACAACAAGCATTGTTCGACCAAACAGGCAGTACGATTTATGAATTTGAGCAATGAACGTCTTAACACACTACGGAAGCCCAGTCTGATTAAGTGGTTGCCTTGATCGATATAAACACAGCGACGGTGTACTAAAGCCATGCAAGTAGGTGGAAATCAGGCATTCTTCGCAGGACGCTGTTTATTAGCGTCACTCAGATCCGGTTGCTATTCAGTCACGAAAGAAACAGCGTCGTTCGAGTTTACAACAATGAAACGAGGAAGGATCATTAGGAGAATTCGAGGCAAGCGTTCAATCTGGAAAAGATAAAAAAAGTGAAAATGCATTGAGTATTTTTAAGCGAATGCAGAGTTAGTGGTGTGCAGAGACTTGACAAAGTGCTCATTAGAAGAGACCACAATCATAGTCCAAACAAGACCTCGCCTGAAGTTAAATGGCGATCGATGGACACAACGATCATGCTCAGGCAAGATGAAAAACAATACATTCGGGGCATCGAAACTCGCCACTACGAGCCATGCACGCTAACTTAGTAACCTAGCGTTACTACCTTAGTGAAATCATAAAATTCAATCACTTCGAAATTCAATATTCTAACAAACGCCTTATCATATTGTGCGCAAGACGCCTGTTACGTAGTGCATTGACACTTCTACGCAAAATGGTGAAACACACCAGAAAGTGACAGAGATAGACATCTGCCACTTACATTGGTTCCATCTTGTAATCACAGGGAGTGCGCGGTCGTCATAATGAAACTATGAAACAAAACGGAAATTTTCGAATCCCATCGGCTTGACAACCGTTTCCGTTTTGGTCGCAAAGAACTTACAATTGATGTGCAGCATGATGGGTTGATTGAAATAGTTGGTTAAGACGATTGCCGTCAAGTTGAATGGATATGAACTCATGACCGCGGAAGTTTGATTGACGAAATTATTGAAAATAATCGAAGCATGATGAAATTAAATCAAAGAATGACGGTGCAAGGCGACAAATTTTAACTTTCAAAGCATGAGACGATACTGCAATAAGGGAGAGTCATGTGATTTTAAGGAGAGTGGAAGATTTCTATAGAAGCCTTCACA